TAGGGGAAAAAACCTTACCATGCAAACTTGAAGGATCTAGAGTAGCATCAGGCCGCATGCTCCAGAAAAGCAATGCATTGCCCATTTTTGGTTTCACTGCAAGTCCTCTCTTAGCACATTCTGACATTTCATTCCACCCCGGCACAGAGCTAAAATTTCCCTTAGCAGCAGGAAAGACTGTTTCACCCCCTTCTTCAACATCAGACCTGCACTAGTTGCAAAGGAAGGAAAAGCATAAACAAAACCTTAGTGACTTTTTTGAACAAGGGTAATGAAGTTTTACCACTTTTAGAATGTCAACGAAGTCATGAAGGGAGTTGGAACACTTACAAATACATGAGAATAGTAGCTATGCGTTGACCCCCATTTTTAGTGTTGAATTCATCAATAAAGTAGTCATAGTGAGGCTCATATTTTTGACCAGCTTCATAGTGGAGAACTTGTAGGCCTTCCCCGTCCTCTGAAATTTCAGCCTAAGCTTAGTCTGGCAATTCTTAGGATAACAAGAAATAACATAAACAGGACCATAAAAGAAAACATGTAGATATCACGTCATCTCTGTGCACACTTTCATCAAGGTTGAAGCTGAGGACGAAAAGAGTCTTACAATACAAAGCAGTATAACTCCATATCAATGTAATTAAGTCATACCTGCAGGTATGAATGTGTAATCTGCTATTCTTTTTTCAATATCAGTGATGATTTTATCCTGTCCCCTCCTTAAAAACATTCCGGAACTTGTACGAGCCCTGCAACATGATGACACCAATGTCGATAACCAAGCCAAGAATAATACAAAAAGGACAGCAGTTAAAAGTATAAACTCGAATTTCTTCAGATAAAATCTACTGATATGCAAATACAAACAATGAACGGAGTCTGAAGAACAAACCTGCTATCTGTACTCTTGCCTGTCTTGCTGTCAACAACTGACGATTTTGCCATGTGAGGTTTGGCAAGATCTATCAGATGCTCGCATTCTTCCTTGGACTGTTAAAAAAACATGGATTAAATAGTCAGTTACGGGTCAATCTAAAGATATAACTTATGCAGATATTGATCTCTTACATAAAGGGGATAAAAATGTGAAATCAATTACATGTCGCGAATTGTGGTATTACCATTGAACCTTGTATAGTTCATTCTGAAAAGAAGTCTTATATAACTAAAATTACTATACTATGCTTGACAGCATCACATTGGAGTTACAAAAGCTACTTGTTCAAAGTAAACTGATGTTTCGCTCATCTGCAAAATACATACAATACATGTTGAAAGCTCTTAACTCAAGCCTGCACTTTGCTGTCCGAAAAATGTCATAACAAATAATTCAGCAATCACGCAGTAATCAGCAGAAAAGCAAATGCATTTCGAATCTGCCGTAAATAATTTTCACCAATATTTAAAAAGCAAGACCCAACAAAGAAATAATATTTCAAAACAATTGAATCAAAAACTGACCAAGAAATTGTGGTAAATGAAAGCCCTAGGCTCCCACGACAGCACCTCAGTCCACTGCTCTCCTCTTTTTCCCAATCTCCCTCCTCGTCTGCCATATCAAAAAACAAACAAAAGATCTTTCAATAAAAATTAGAAAGCGAAACAAAATAATTTATACGGTTCACAAATCTTTCCCCGAACATAAAAAGAATGGAACCACATCGGACCGCACCAGAGCCAATGGGTGTGGTCCATCACTGTGGTTCCATATATAGAATTACGATAAAATTACATGTCTAAGTTAACGCGCTTGAATTTGATGCTATCACCGGTTCTTGAAGACTCATCATCGGAGCCAACAGGTAGAGAGAGGATTCCGAGAGCCAATAGCATTAATAACATAATTGTAAGCATTAATAACATAAGTAGCACCAACGTCAGCGTAGAGGATCTCTTCCCTTGATGCCGATTACTCCTCCCCTTCGCCATTAATTCAAGAAAAAAAAGTAAAAAGTAAAACCCTAGAAAAATTCGATTTTAGCCAAAGACAAATTTGATTCAAATTGCTTCAAGTGTGAAGTAGATTTTGTCGGTTAAAACTTGCAATTCGTTGCTGGTTACGAGGAAGATGACCTGAAGTTGAAAAGACCGAAGTGTCCTTAATATGTCCACGTATTCGGGTCCAAGCTCGGATAATTTTGTCATTCTAATTAATGTCATTTTTATGTTTTTGTATAATTTAATTAATGTCACTGTTATGTTTTATATTTTTTGGATATAATTTATTAAATTTTCTAATTAGCTCTGTTTGATTTAAATAAAAATTAAAATTTTTTATAAAAGTCGACAAAATATGTAGTTGAAAAGTTATGAATCCCATAAAACATAAAGTTAATGATTTTAATTTTTAATTTTAATCAATTTTTGTTGTTGAACCAGAGAACTAATATTATTCTTTCATTTTATATTTTTCGACATAATTATTAAAAGTATTTTTGCCGAGCAAAATAATTTCTAAGGAGATTAATTTCTTCAGATATTTATTATTTAATGGTTTTTTGTTTTTATTTTTAGTAAGCTGGAATTATCCACCTGCTTCTATTCCATTTTTTTACAGCATTTTTTATTTCATTATTCAGCTCTTTTTTCTATAAAAAAAAAAGCCATTACGCATACAATTAATTGAAAGATAACCTTTTAATTTTTAATCATATATTCTTCAAAAATATCAATTTTCACAATTTATTATAAAAAAATATTTAACATCCAAATGGCCCTGAATTTTTAGAATTACTAATCCCTTACACGCTACTGTAACTTTTGCTGTTTTTGATGTTGAAACAATTTTTCTTAGCCTATTTCGATGGATCAATAAGTACTATATACTTTTTCATCGTTCACTTTTATCTATTTATAATTTAAACTATTGCACCAAATTTAGTAGATTAAATTTATTAATCAAATGCGACTGCTATTAGTGCCCGTTTTTCTAAATGATAACCTTAATTCATGGCAACATTGGCTGACATATCGAGCCACAGCAAGAGGGTTGCCCAGAATCGCAGGAAGCACAAAAATTGCATACATCTGTTGTCTGTAGGCAAAAATTTGACATTCATACCGCATTTGGGAAATTCAAAACAACTAAATACTTAACAACCATAACGGGATGGTGAAGTGAAAAGTTGGGCATGTTCGGTAAAACAGATCCCGTGCATAAATAAACTAAAATATGATTCTAGTCATGTCTACAACTGTGTATCAAACGTGCAATGAATGTATAATTATTACATCACTTGTTTCATAAGATGATGAATATGCTTCTCCATGAATCCTACACCCCGCAACCTTTTCATGGTGATAGGGGAAAACAGAGAAAATGAAAGTGGAAACATATTTAAAGATAAATACAACTGATGCCAGACGTTGCGTGTAGAGAAGCACGATGTCATTTACGTGCAACTGAGAGTACAGGATCTATTGGATGTCGTAGGATGAACAAGGAGAAGAGTGCCTGCCAAGGGAAATGTCTTATTTCTTCACATACTTGCATGATCAACAGTTACATGAGGAACTTCTTGACCTCATAAAAACTTTTGTTCGCTATCAAAGATCATAATCCACAACACTACTACCGAAGTCTGCATAAATGTAGCCAATAAATTTTTATGCCAGCATTATGATATAAGTGGAAAACACGAGCAAGAATTTCATTTTGCATCAAACTAAAAACCAGGTAAAGTACAGCTTATGTGTCATAACCCAAAGGGCTTGAGTGCAATACATTCGTGCAAACATACATCATGACACTGATCTGGTAAGCACACACGCACACACGTACTTGTTTGATTGTATTCTTTTAACATTGATCACATTCTTTCTTCCAAATTTTCAGCTAAACGCAACAAGCAATCATAGGAATGAAGCGAGAATATCTACACGTATTAAGTCTATACATTCTGAATATAAATAACATTTACAACATTCTTATAACAGCATTCCTAGGACTAAAATACTCAATAAATTCATTTATTTAATATCATCATGCCAGTGACTTCTAATGAGCTTTCAGGCCCATAGGGCAATCTGCTCAAGTTCATGAAGCTGATATTTAATTTTGTAACTCAATAAAAAAAAAGAATAAATATATAATATAATTAAACTAGAAATAAAGTCCAACAGAAGAAGAAACAATATTCCTGGGTGCAGTCACCTAGCAGTTTATCAGAACCATGTCACCAAATAGGATAAATCATAAACTCTCTAATATACAAAGAAACAGGACATCTATCTCCAGTGGCACCTAATATTCCGATTGCTTATGAAGTTCCTTTGCAATAGTGTCTTTAATATTCTACCGTACCTTATTCATTTTAACATTTATCCTTCTATTACTTTCCACCCAAATATGAGAAATAAACTGATAGAATTCTGCCCAAAGAAACAGTAATTTCACCACTAATCCACAAAATGGAGCATAAAACTGTAAAGGAAAAAAGCTTTATAAGGAAGGAAATGGTATGTATTACACAAAACTGAGAACAGTACAAAGAAAAATGAAAATGGCAGGTTTCGAGAACTGCCCCTCTCCACAGTGGTTAGAAAATTCCCACCTGTGAATGAATCTTCTAGACTTTGTTACCTCACTTTTAGTCTATCCTAAGAACCCTGATATCAGCATAACTCATTCCTCATAAAATCTAACAGCCACGATTCCCTAAAATAGCCACATCATAGTTAGCTAGAAACCCTTCTTATGACGCCTCTCATACATAAATCGCATAGGTGGCTAATCATAAACCCATAAATTTCAAAATCCCATTCTCAGTCATGTACCTATGACCTATGAGCTCAACTAATCTGCAATTCAGCTGAAACATCCTCGTTAATAGGCCAAGACACAATATCACTGGACTTGAAGTCATATTTCATTGTAAAGCTATGGTCAAAATGTATGTGATGAATAAAGTTACCTTCAGCGAAACAAGTATATGGCATTTTGTAANACTTCACCTAATAAAATCGGCTTATTAGTGGAGGATTGCCCTCACCTTATTAAGTTGATTATTTATATTTTCCCAAATAATGTGGGATTCTAATACACCCCCTCAGCACAGCGTGGACCATGCCAAACAACTGTGAACAAATCGATATTGGGTGGCACCCAACATTGTATAATTGGGTCTAACTCTAATACCATGTTAGTAATATTGAGCCTAACTCCACCTAATAAAACCGACTTTTTAGGGGAGGATTGCCCTCACCTTATTAAGTGGATCATTTATATTTTCCCAAATAATGTGGGATTCTAATATCTACAGATACAAAAATTCAAGAAGTAAATAATTGAAACCATAACGGAGGACATAATAAGACACAATGTAGAGGGAAATGTCAGCAAAACTGTTATCTTCTTAACAAAATGTCAGGCTGGCATCTAATTCAATATTCCATACTCAAAGTGCATAATTATTATTTTCACTTTTGCATACCCTCCTAATCCAGGGGCATGAATTATTGTTTTGGCAATTCAACCAAACAATAGTCCAGCATCCCAAGTTACTAACTATCTGTTTTCCCTATCTCATTAAAAAAAGAAAAAAGGCTTTTGCAAATCTTAGGATTTTTGACCTTGACGCATACAGATAATCATTGGTAAGTTAGTTCTCAAAAGTCACCACTTTTTACCCAGCGTTGACAATCCACCGGACTCTGTATTGACTAGCAGTACAGCGATCAACTAGCTTCCTTAATTTGCAGAAATAAATCCCAATAGGCTTCCTCCAATAGACAGTGAAGCAAATCCTAAACTTCATTAACAATTAATTGGACTCGGTTTGACTACTTGCAGTAACCCAACCAACTAAGATTTTTCATTTATAGAAAAAATTGCCACTAGTGTTCCTCCAACAAAGAGTGAAGCACATACTCAAAAATTGTGTTTGGGCTGATAAATTCAGATTTCAGGATGCATTTAATCAAGGATGAACCAAACAAAGAACTCGCGAATTTCGGATTGGTTTCTATTATAATCATTGACTGGATAACAGAGACGAGGTTATGTAATTACATTACATGGATTTTTAGGAGGAAAATGAAAATTGGAGAAGGATAAAAGGATGCAAATAAGTGAATTTCATATTCATCATAAATAGTTATATAATGCTTAATCTTTTTGGCTAACAATTTCAAATCCTGTTGGCTATAACTATGCAGCAAATGCAAGGATTCGAAATTCCACAGGACCAAAATCTTAGGCAAAAATGGATTCTAAAATCTTTCCTTTGCACAAGCAATTATGAATATGTGTGAACAATAAATACCAAATAACTCATTCACAAATAAATTTGCACAAATTATGAAATCCTGCCAGAAAAACAGAAATCCAATCTCTTAAATAATATCAAGAACCTGAAATGTTTCAAATAACTTCTTGGTTCTTTCTTAGCTTTTTCACTTTTCTCCACAATCAAACCGTTGGGTGTCAAATCCTACCTATTTCCAACACTATGTGACCACATTTAAACAAACCCATCAATTTTCACTTTCGCCTTTGCCAAAAATGATTGCATCTATAGTTTCAAATAAAATAAGGTAAAGAATATAAAATCCATCGAAACTAAAATTAATCAACAAAATAATTGAAATTTAATTCATTTATTACCAAAAAAAACGTCAGCTACGATTTGATTCATTTCTTTCCTTCTCAATTTGCTGCTTTTGCTTCTCGACAAGCTTATCAAGAGCCGACTGCACAGCATCCCGCCCTCCAATCAACAGCCGGGTAACAATTTCCGGATCCTTCTCGAACCGGGCCTCTTCGAACTCCTTTCTAGCATTCTCTCTCAATACATCGCGCCAGAGGACACCTCGAGAATCCAGCCACATGAAGAAGCGGGTAGCTCGTATAATATCTCGATACAGGCTCAGCGCCTCGCGGCGATTGCTAGTGAGTCGCTGCCGAGTCAGCAATTCATTCTCCTCAGAGTCCTTTTTATCTTTTTTGACTAGGTGTCGGTCAAGGAGTTCCTCCACCGTGTCCGGGCCGTTGTGTATAAATTGACGGCGGAGGTGGTGGACTGATTGGGTGCGGCAGAGGCGATTTAATGCGGTGGCTATGGGTTGACATTTTTGGAGTTTTGTGGTCATTTTTATTTTTTTCTTTAATTTACAGTGCCTTGCTTTCTTTAAAACGGTTGATGAGTATTTCTTTAAAGTCGTGTTTATCTACACCAAACAAAGCACGTTATACGTGGACAAAAAAGGAGGGCATGCTTCCGCCGCATCGGAGATTTTACCTGCGTTCTCTTTCCATTCTCTGTGAAACATCGGATTAGTCTTTAGACCTTGTTTGGTATAAGGAAATTGAGCAGTAAAGAAGCCTCCAATTCCAATGGCTCTCACCAGGCTGAACTCACGCTTAACCCTGTCTCACCATTCCATTTTTCCTCTCTCCAAAGGCGCCCTAAAGCCCTATTCTACCTCCTCGGACGCACTCGACCTTCAAGACGAAGCCGACAGCGCCAACGCCAACTTATCTCCGGTGGAAACTTTAATTGCCGATAAATTCTATTCCTTAATCAAAGACCATTACCGGAAAAACCCTAATCCCTTAAACCCTAGCAATAACCCCTTAAACCCTAGTGTAACATTCCCTACACTTTCTTACGAGTTCTCCAAAATCTCCGTTGTCAATTCCCTCTCCCCTTCCTTAATCCGCTGTGTACTTGAAAAATGCTCCGCCCTCCGCCATGGTATTCCCTTTATTCAAGCACTTGCTTTCTTCAATTGGGCCACCTCACCATCGAATTTGTCTGAAATTTCACCTTTATTGGTGGAGGCCTACAACAAAATGATCGACCTTTCTGGAAAGGTGCGTCATTTTGATGTCTCCTGGCACTTTATTGATTTAATGAAATCGAAAAGCATAGAAATCCCAATTGAAACTTTCTCGATTTTGATTCGCCGTTATGTTCTTGCTGGGTTGGCTGCGGAGGCCATACATGCTTTTAATAGAATGGAGGATTATGGTTGCAAGCCTGATCGCAATGCGTTTTCTATAGTGATTGGTATATTGTGTAAGAAGAGAAGAGCGGTGGAAGCACAAGCATTTTTTGATAGTTTGAAGGATAAGTTTGAGGTAGACACTGTGTTGTATACCAGTTTAGTGCACGGGTGGTGTCGGGCTGGGAATATTTCTGAGGCTGAGAAGGTGTTTCGGGAAATGAAGACGGCTGGTATTCAGCCCAATGTGTATACCTATACCATTGTGATCGATGCTTTGTGTAGATGTGGTCAAATTACAAGAGCACATGATGTTTTCTCAGAGATGATCGATGTGGGATGTGTACCAAACACAGTTACGTATAACAATTTAATGCGGGTTCATGTAAAGGCTGGGAGGACTGAGAAAGTGTTGCAAGTGTATAATCAGATGAAGAGGCTTTCATGTGAGCCAGATGTGATCACGTATAACTTTTTGATTGATAGTCATTGTAAGGACAAGAATCGGGAGGAGGCAATTAAGGTGCTTAATACGATGGTTAGGAAAGGATGTGAGACAAATCCCTCTAGTTTCAATCCAATTTTAAGATGCATTGCAGAAGCCCAGGATGTGAATGCTGCACATAGATTATTTGCCAAGATGAAGGAGCTAAATTGTAAGCCAAATACCGTGACGTATAATATATTGCTCCGGATGTTTGCTGAGTCTAAATCGACAGATATGGTTATTAAAATTAAGAAAGAAATGGACTTGAGTGATGTTGAGCCTAATGTGAATACTTTCAGAATTATGATTTCAGTGTACTGTAAAATGGGTCACTGGAACAATGCATACAAATATCTCAAAGAGATGGTTGAGGAAAAGCGTTTGAGACCTGGTATGCCAGCCTGTAAAATGGTTTTGGAGCAGTTAAGGAAAGCAGGGCAGATAAAGAAGCACGAGGAATTGGTAGAAACAATGGTGGGCTTGGGATTTATAACTCGTCCCTTGTAGGAATAGTGATCCTTTGTTGATCATATGGCTAATTTTGCTTTCGTTAATTCATCTTTAGAAATTCTATTCTTCGAATCTTGTGAGTTTTGCGGAAACCATTTGCTTTGATGCAGGAAATTGTAGTTCTGAAATTTTGTTAGCTCCGCCAATTGCCAGTCCAGTTTTGGAATATCTTCATTGTAGTGCCAATAGATAACTGCTTCCATAATTCAAGTTATCAGATACATTATGGTACTTCTCTTGATAATTGAAGTTTTAATATTATATCAGGCATCATGGTTCGGATCTATAATTATTTGGAAAGCATGTTTTAAAACTTAATTGAAGATGTTTATGGTGACGTGAAATCTATTTTTAAAATGTTTGCTAGTATTTCATCTTTATTTCAGTTTTCTTGCTTTGACATATTGGCGATGCCAATTCATCATGGCTTAGCTTCCCTACCTTGATTTATCCTTCCTTTGTTGCTGATCAGAGGGCACGGCCATTGCCAACCAACAACCATCACGCCAACCATCTTTTCTGATTATGTGAGTATGCTTCAGAATGGCGGGCCTGCTAGGAATATGGATCGACCTCAAACATGGTCTAAGCCCATCTACAGACGGCCTCTGTTGCCAAATTGTGGACAGAAGATCAATGTTTCAAATGCTCAAACCGCTTAAATATTTCTTTTAACAGGTTACCCTTTTGACTGTTCAATGAAACATTTTTTATTCATTGCCATGGTATACATGTGAAGATTGCTAAGAGAGTGAATTTTGAAGTAGGAGAATGTTCTTGTGCTTATTTTTATAAATAAGACTAATTATTCTGTTGATATTTCTTCTGCATTTTGACCTGAATTTCGTCCAAGTTAATCCAGTCGGTGGGATTTTATGAGAATTCCTGCCGCTGGAATCACTGGGTAGCTTTTGGGAAATGACACGACGCTGTGTGAACTAAAATATAAGTGCATTTCTGAGTCTCCACATCCTGTGTGATATGAGCCTTACAATATTGAAATGTAAGCTCTAGGGACAGTAAATCTTTTCTTCTTCTGGGCTTAGATATAGAAGTCTTGGCCTTTGTTTTGGGAAATAAAAGTTCAGCAGATCATTTTTAACTCAATAATTGGTACATCTCTGATCTGATGCATCCGTTTGAGGGTATGTAATATACTTCTCAGTAGGCAATAGACTATGCGTTTGGATCTAATTGCTTTATTAGGACCTCGCAGTGAGTCGAATGAATTGACATAAAAGGTTTACATAGATTATCCCAAAATTGTTTGGAGTGGATTTAATTTGTCATTAATGTCAATTGTACAGACAGGAAAAAAAAAAAAAAGGGTCTGCATGTAACTCTTTACATAGACTATCCCAAAATCTTGCATATAACCCTTTTTCCTACAGAATTCTGTGGACGTATTCGATTAATATCGACAGGCTTTAGTGTCTATAATCATTAATTTTCATGGATTAATCTTTGTTTAAATTTGTGTGCTTCGACCTGTTCACAACATGATTCAATCTTAGTGTATCTCAAAGATGAAAACAATGGCAAAGGAAATCCTTTTCTTCATTTCTCATGCATTAATATAAAAGAAGTAAAGTTCACGTGTATATATAACAAAGAAAATCATCAGAGAACTCAAGCTTTGATGAACACCTTAACAGAAGTTTCATGAATGGGACTACTTAAGCACAGGAAAAGCAAAATCAGCAAAAAGAAACGTGTTTCACAGCCGGCAACCAACACCAACACCAACCGTGCCACCGCTGAAGATGAAACCGTCAGCTGCCATTCTGAATATTTGTAGCAGTGGAATTCCTGATCATGGAGCAGCACCTAAGTTGAATCGAGTGAAAAAATTTGCAAGTAGTTGGGATACTTTCGGCACAGCATGACCTCAAGATAAAATCTTTATAAAGATTTTCCGAAAGTGGCGAAGGAAAGATTATTTGAAAGAGTGGCATGGGGCACAAACCAGGGGTGTCGTAAGGGGGCGACAGGATAGGATTTAAGGTCGGCTTTTTGGATACGAATTGGTCTTGGAGGTAGAGAGAGAGGTTCGAGATTTGAACTCCTTTTGGCTATTTGAGGCGCAATCCGGGGTTATCGCCAGCCGTCACGCCAGATTGAGAAAGATAAGTATAAAAATTTTGGCTCATATTTGGACGGTGCTTATTTTCAACATCCCAGAGTAACTTTGTCCATTAATGTCTGTGCCCGTCATCTGTAAAATGGTTGCAGCAAAATAAATGTACAAGTAACATTCAAGAAAATATTGGCATAAACTAGACAAATATCTTAAGATCAACTAACACATGATGCAATTTCAAATACAATCATATATATTGGATATATCATCACCACGGAGTGTTAAATCATCTAGCCCGGAAATTAAATATGGTAGAACTTCAATTTCTTTCGAGTGTATAAATTAAAAAATACAAAAACCGATATAATTAGCATTGACGAACTAAAAATCCCAGACACATTTGACAAAAAAATGTTACAAACAAATTTTAAGCTTAGCCAATAATGCTAATCTAGTTAACAGTTACTTTACCAACCATGCCAGCACCCAGGTGAGGAGCACAGTAGAAACTGTAGGTTCCTTTCTGTGTCAAAGTCACTGAAAAAGTCTCTCCAGCTGAATTCAGCAGGTTCTCTTCCGGCATAGAGATATTGGACACATCAACTCCGGCCGGAACTTCATCCTCATTGAACACAACGTTGTGGGGGAATCCAGCATTGTTCTTGAACACAATTTTCTCTCCCGCAGCTACAGAGAAGTTGCCAGGAATGAAAGCCAGTGATCCATCATCTCCACCGAGTAGAACCTCCATGGCTAAGGCCTTGCTGGTTAGCACTGCAGTCGCAACAGTAGCAACAACTGCTGCAACACCTAAATCTTTCAATGAGGCCTTCACTACCAGCTTGGGGATCAGAGGGTTGGAAACCTTCGTGGCAGCACTGACCTTTGAGGCCAAGGCATCGGCGGCCTTAAGGCCGGTGAATGATGGGATGGCAACAGCAGTAGAAGTAACAAATGCCATTCTTAAGCAGTGTTAAAGAGTTGTAATTTGTGACTCTACTTGCTTTAGGCCTGTTTGTGAGTGGAGATCAAGAATGAAATAAGAAGGCAAATTGACTTTAATATGTAGTGAGGGGGGTGGGAGATTATTTTTTGAGGTTGTATTCTGTTGTCATGTTTTCTTTTTGGGGTGGGTGTGATTAGATAAAGTTTGGCAAAGAAAAGATGGATGGAGTGAAGAAAATGGTGTTATCTGATAGGCAATATTCTGGAGTGGAAAATATTGGATGTTTGTGACTTGAGGTGGAAATTGTTCCCAAGTATCAATTACAAAGAATAGAAATTCCTTGGAAAACCTTCCAACATAACCAATAATAGAAATGCTTCAAAATGTCTTGTAGTCCAGTTTCATATACTGGCTGGGCTCGACCTGATCAAGATTTCTATATATCGATTTTCTTAGAAAAACCAGATAAAAACAAGATTATTTAGATTTAATGGAATCTAATCTCATCCCTTTTTTTTTTCTAAATTTGTAGCAAAACATAGATAAATTTCTATTCCTAGAAAAACATTATTTCTTGGTGTCCTGACAATGACAAAAAAAGAGATTTTTTTTTTT